AAAAAAAAGAACTTAAAAGAACATCAAGCAACCTCCATTTGATAATTTCAGAAGGATTAACCCTTTTGCATTAACATTGTGAAAGTATTGCAAGACAGTGATGGAAAAACATAAACTATGTAAAATTCAACTCCAAGGCCACTTTGAGACAGAACAACAACACTCTTTATTGTAAACAGATTAAATGTGAAAACAATAATCTTACATTTGGCAAAATACCAAGTTTAGACAGGATTTGTTGTGAGAAGTTGTGTTTTTTAAGCCAGTGGTTTTCAAATAGAGTCACATAGAGCTTAGCAAAAAACAATGATAAATGCAAATAATAATATGCAACTAAACATATAATTAAATTATCAGCTTTTAAAACACTTTTCATATTTTTTGTTGACTTCAAAGGCTGTTTGTCCAATCAAATTTTTTTTCATCTGTCACTTGGTAAAAGCTAGCCAAATTAGACAGATAACCAAGAGAACAAATAAATAAAAATGAATTAAAAATGTCACCGTTTCATTTTAGGGACATTTGTATTTACATGTATTTAGGCACAGCATGTGTGCCTAAATTACACTTGATGTCCAATGGGAAATTGGGTAAAGGACTGGCACAATAAGCATGTAATTACAACTGGCCATTCAGATTTGATAACGTTCTCTGATTTGAGTTTTTAACTCATTAAAAAGATAGTTCAAACTCAAAATCAGTACTATACACAAAGAATCGATAAGAACCATAAAGAGCCATCGAGACCTTGACAAAACAGACATACATCTGAACTCCTGGAACATCCTGGCAGAGACGCCCATCTTTGCATGCCAATTCCAACACTGCCTTTCACCACCCTTTATAGTTCTGCAGGCAAGCATCAGCAGCTCAGTAAATGTGGAGAAGCTCTCCACAGGAGCTGATATAAGAGAGGGAGTGTGAGGCCAGTTCTGAACGGCACCTCTGACCCTCCCGCCCCAGTCCATTTGTCCCCCACTAAGCTTCAGACACACAGAACCTACTGTTAGGGTGTCCATCAGCATTGCCTCACTCACCCTATTAAAACAGACATCATGCTGAACAGCAGAAACGTATGCCTTAATCCTGCCACTCTCCGCTGGGCTACCAACAAAGCCCTGCTTTGGTGAAGTATCGAGCAGAAAATCATTTTTATGCACCTTCCCCTGCCCGAGACGGTGGGGAATGTGTGTTTTTGCCATATTGAAACACATGCAGTTTGAAGCGAAGTGCGAACGACCGAAAATATAAAACAGGAACGAGACCCGATTTGAGGGGAAAACACATTAGAGAAAGCGTGAGTGACAAAGCCAAAAAAGCAGTGAAAGAATGAGCAGGAGACAGAGCAAAAGAAGAGGTATTTTGTGGGGAGGGGAGGCAGCGTACAGGAGGTGGCAGGGGGGCAGGAGATGGAGCATTTGATTAAATCTGCGGTTGACGTTTCGGACAGGTGAGATTGATGAGGTTCCTCTACGCTTCACACTGTGCAGAGAGCGCAGGGAGAGGAACAGAAACACGCAGTGTGGAGAGCCTGGGCTGGGGGCCCTCTCACACCGTGGGGTCCCCGGTCTGATTAATGGGGCTGGAGTCCCTTCAAAAACAGCGCTCTAAGCTGAAAGGGCCGCACCGTGCTCCAAAAATAACCAGGACGGGGCAGCCGCTCCACTACGGACTGCAGCTTAGAGACCAAACCCTGAACCGTTTAGGACCAATTGCTTTTATTTCACTTCAATCCTTACTCTGCTGATCGCATTACATATTAAAAGATAGGTTACGCTTAGTCTGACATGAAATATAATTATTTGCAAGCTACACAGAAAAGCCTGCCGAAATCTCAAACCAAAACCCAATGCCTGGCACGGAGAATGATAAATGTCTTGTATGGATTATATTGCGATATTTGGACACTCTATAAACTACACTAAGCAAATAAAGGACAAAGCCAGTTCTGCCTTTTTTCCCTTTTGAGCCTCGACAGGAAAAAAAAGGAGGCGCTAGCCTACTAATGACAAATTAAACACAAAAGTCACAACGAAGCAGAAATAACCTGCACACACCTCATAAATTTATCAATGTGCAATTATGGTAACACTCAGGAACTCCTGAGCCAGAGTTTTTTCCTTGTTCCCTCTAATTCCCTCCAGCACTGACTGTTGGTTTGAGCAGAACCCAGAAGCTTGATACCAGAAAGTGGGTGCAATTCAATTAACTACCTCAGATTTTTGGTAACCGTAAGTCTACAGGCTATGGTGCAAAAGTCCACACTGAAAAAAAA